TTGTAATATTTGGCTTGTGAGAAAAAAAATTTTCATCTATATATTCATTTCTTTCTTTATTCCATTTTAATTTATATTTAGTAAACTTTTTTCTCTTTTTTTATCATAAAATTTTTCTCTCTTTTCTTCTGTAATAAAATTTCTTAAATTTTTATATTTTATAATTAGTTTTCATTACTTAGGATTATACATTATTTAAAAAAAAAATTATGATAATCGAAATAAGAAAGACTTGCCATTTTTGTCGAAAAAATAATGTTATGTTTTGTTTTTGTTCTTATTTAATTTATGGGCGAGTCTAAATTCACCCATAGTTGCTCGGTCACCCCAATGAAAAAATTAAATACAAAAATTCTAATTACATTAAATGACTAAAAGCAACTAGAAAAAAAAACCCGAAAAAAAAATATTTTTTCTAGAATTTAATGTGTTTAACATATTACTTGGAAACTTAATGAGTTGGACTATAGAAAATTACAAGAATTTTTATTTTGGAGCCTTAGTGAGCTGAGGCTGATTTGTATATCAAATGAGCTCGAGTCTAGCAAGCTGAGTCGAATCGAGATCGTGAGCTGAAGCTGGTTTGTATATCAAACGAGCTTGAGTGTTAACAGCTGAGCCAAATTGAGTCAACGATGGGCTCATTTTATTTAATAGCTCTAGCATAGGGAAGTTTAAAAAAATGTAAAAGAAATGTTCTACATTATTGTTCATCAGAATTATTCAGGCTATGGGAAGTCAAATATCAAAGCACGTATGAATATTTTTTTTTCTATATGATAGGGTGTCTTCCAAGATATAAGATATCAGGTGGGATGAGGGTGTATGAATATTTATTTATAATACTATCTGGTGCTAAATTAATTTGTTTTGGTTATAAAGTGCTATGTTTGTCAAAAGTTCGTATTGTTTCTTTGATTGAATACACTTGATTATCACAGAAGTTGGCCTTTAATGTAGGAAACAAAAAATAAGGAAAATTGAACAAAGATCTTATGATTAAGAGCACATCTGAAGATGTAATGTCAACACGGTCCTCTGCTTTATTCGTAGATTTTCAAACTTGGTGGACCTATATTTCCCACAACAAAATAATATTTAAAATAAAATAATTAAAATTAATTTGATGTAAAAGTATGAGAGAGATGATTGAAGTGATGGTTAGTTAAAATAATGTGAGTGGATGACTAGTGAATTAAGGTTGATGTGGTGTGTATGAATGATTGATTGATATTATTTAATTATATTAATAATATTGATAATGTGAGTGAATGAATAGCGAATTAAGGTTGATGTGGTGTGTATGAATGATTGATTGATATTATTTAATTATATTAATAATATTGATGATAGTGGGGTTGAATTAAAGTTGAGTTAAAAAAAGTGGTTGAGTTAGACTGTTGTAAATTTTTTGAAACATTCCATAAACAAACATGCTCTAAGATTTTCCACGATAAACGAGGGGTTGGGACCAAATTGTGCAGAAGAGGAATATTGTGATAAATTCAACTATTATATATATCGTATTAAGGTTGTTATTTTTTAAGCTTTGGTGAGCTGAACTATAGGAGCTATTATCAATTTTAGTTAATTTATAGATTTCAGGTAAGTGATTCATGTTAGATATTGATTAATTTGTTTGTCCCACATCGAATGTATATCAAAGTGTGTAGGATCTTATTAGTATAAATAGGTCCTTTGCCTTTGGGTTACAATTGCACCTTATTCTATTCTCTCATCTATTAGAAGGAAATTCTAATTTGTGGGTTATTTAACCCTAGTTGTATTTTGTTAGTGAGATTAGTAAATTTGGCGTTGCGGTTGGCGGTGCCCAGAGACGTAGGCTATTTTCGCCGAACTCCGTTATCAATTTTTGGGTTCTTTTTCTTTCTCGTCTTTTATTTATTTGTGTTGACTTATTTTTCATTTAGAGTAGTGCTTGCCATATTTGTTGGAGGGGTAATTTTATCCACTGCGCTTGATGTTCTACCACAACAATTCATACAAGAGTAATATCTCAAAGACCTAAAAATACCCATGGAATGGGTATGCCAAATGAACAAGTGCAATCTTTTGTTTGCATTAGCCAATTGACCCGTGAAAAATATTCATAGATATGTTATAGTGAAATGAAGAAAATTCAGGGGAGACTTGTAATAATTACTAATTGGAATTTGAAATTGAACATAATATTTCTCCGTAAATATTAAAATAAAAAATTAGGTGCTTCTGTATATTAAAATTTAGGCTGCATCTTTTTCAACAACAAACAAGTCATAACCTTATTTTTCCATGCCATATTTTCAAAATACTTATTTTTTGCTATAAATATACGTTTTATAATCATATCATGATTTCACCACACATCGAATCATAATTGCACCACATAATATCATTTCGTGCACAATATGATAAGATAATATAATCACACTAGATGATCGCACTATATATCGTATTATCAGATCGCACTATATAACATGTAAATCATAAATTCGGAATTAATGGTATGAGAAAATAAGTATATCTAATTGCTATTTCACTTATAATTTCTTAAATTAAAAAACCATAGTATGGGTAGACCACTTGTCATAGTAGGGTGCATAAATATAGAGTCAGGACCAATCCATTTTAGGGCTAGTGGACAATATTAAATCAAAGTAAATATTGGATGAAATAGAAAATAAATAAAACAATATATGTATCTCAAATCCACTTACTCCAACTCTCCAAGCATTATTGNTTTACTCCAAGCATTATGTGGAATTTTCCTCCCCAAAATAGTTCAATTGACCCTAGGTAAATATTGGATGGAATAGAAAAAACATAAAACAATATTTAAAAAATAAATTTATCTCAAATCCATTTACTCCAAGCATTATGTGGAATTTTCCTCCCAAAATAGTTCAATTGACCAAGGTACAACAAACTAAAGCATCACGCAACATACTATATCGTATATACAAGTTTACGCTGTATATGTAATTATAAAACCATGTTAGCTGACTCATTAATGGAAGCTTTTCAACAGTGAGAACGCAAAGAGGAAGAGGCTGCTGATTCGTCCCTACAGCCAACCAATCTGCCGAAAACCCAAAATCTCCATTGGTAAACAACAAAACCAAGTAAAAGTTATCTTCTTTCTCCATTTTCATCCTCTTAGCCCGTTTGAAAATTCAAATCAACACATCAAATTTTGCTATCTGTTGATGCATCTATCAGCCCCAACAAACCTCCGAAACCCATTATGGATCCCCTTCTTCATCCTCCTCGCGGCCCGATTTCTCCCTTCCGGGATGCCCGACCCGAGAATTTCCGTCGCGGCCTTCATCTGCGGCCACTCCCAGGCGCCGCCGAACGCCAGCTACGTCCCTCTGTTCACGAGCGCCATGGAGGGCCTCGGGCAGCGCGTGACGGCTGACGAGTGGGGCGAGTACGTTGCCAATTCCACCAGCATCCCCATCTACACCTTCTTCCAGTGCCACGGCGACCTGACCCGCGACGACTGCCTCCAGTGCTACGCCGCCACCCGGACGACCATCCCCCGCTGCGTCCCCGCCGTCTCCGGCCGGATCTTCCTCGACGGGTGCTTCCTCCGCTACGATCGGTACGAATTCTACAACCAGAGCGTGGACGCCGCCCTTGACGGCGTTAACTGCAATACCTCGCTGGGGGCGGCGAGTGGGGTCGATTTGGAATTTGAGGGGAACGTTGGGGCGCTGATTGATAATCTGACGGCGAGCGCGGTGGAGAACGATGGTTACGCGGTGAGGGGCAGCCGGGGAGTGTTTGGGTTGGCCGAGTGTTGGAATACGGTGAACCGGGAAGGGTGTAGGGAGTGTTTGGCGAAGGCCAATAGAGAGATCAGAGGGTGTTTGCCGAGCAGGGAAGGCCGGGCGATGAACGCCGGCTGCTACTTGAGGTATTCTACGGTGAGGTTTTTCTTGAATTCCACCGACGGAGCTGAAAGTGATTCAGGTGGGTTCACTTCTTTTTCGCCTCTTATTTGTTCAAGCTCGATCGGAGTTCGTCCTGAGCATCAGCTTGGAATTTGTTTATGTTGTTGCTGTTATGTGTCCTTAAATTTGATCGTTTTAAAACTGTTCAAGTTCGTCCTTAAAACTGTTTGTTGATTGTTTTCACCACTTTTTTTGTTTGATGAAAATTGATTTGCAGTTGCTGATGATTGATTATCTGTGTGTTTTCTTCTTCAACTTCTTTTTTTTTCTTTCTTTTTTCTTATTCTCGGTCTTTGTACCTGTCCTATTTGGTTTGAATTTGTCAGCTTTTGATTGTCTTTGCCTAAATTTCATGTCACCGATTATTTTAGCTCCTTATTTATTGTTTTGGTCTGATTGATTGATTATATTTAATAGAAGCATTTGTTATTCATTGCCATCAACTATTAAATATTGTTCTGTTTTCTAATTTTAGGTGTATCAGGAGCAGGTCTTATTTTGGCAATCACTTTGCCAGTAGTGGCTTTCACCATGCTCTGTGTTTTTGGTAACTATGCAATCTATTCAAGATGGAAAAAACGAAAACAAGGTATTTTACCTCAGAGATATAATCCAAAACCAAGTCAATGTACAATTTGCCCCAAAAAAGGCGATTGTTTATTATATGTCGATTTTCTCTAAAACAATGCAGAGCGTGAAAATCTCGGCAAGATTTCATATTCATACAACAAATCGAACCTGAATTTCAAATACGAAACACTGGAAAAGGCAACCAACTATTTCGATCTTTCGAGAAAGTTAGGCCAAGGAGGAGCAGGCTCTGTGTATAAAGGAACTCTACCAAATGGTAAAACCGTAGCTGTAAAAAGATTATTCTTCAGCACGAGACAATGGGTAGATGAATTTTTCAACGAGGTAAATCTTATAAGTGGAATCGAGCACAAGAACCTTGTGAAGCTTCTTGGCTGTAGCATTGAAGGCCCTGAAAGCCTTCTTGTTTATGAGTTTGTGCCCAACAGAAGCCTTGAAGAGCACCTTTTTGGTGAGTCTTTAATATTGATACTCGGTTTATAGCATTCTTGTCAATTTTTTTTTTTTTTTTTTTTTTTTTTTTTTTTTTTTTTTTTTTTTTCTAATGCTTTTTTCAATTTCAGATACGAGCAAGAGTAGAATACTGAGTTGGAAAGAGAGGTATAATATAATTGTTGGGACAGCCGAGGGAATTGGTTTTCTTCATGGAGGTTGTGAGCATAGAATAATCCACAGGGATATAAAGAGCAGCAATATTCTTCTTGATGAGAATTTCGAACCAAAGATTGCCGATTTTGGTCTTGCTCGTGGTTTTGCAGCTGATAAAACTCATCTCAGCACGGGGATTGCAGGAACATTGTAAGGACTCTTTGCTGTTAATTCATCTCAGCTGATAAATTTCACTATAGATGGAGCAAAACAAATGCAAACCTTGGATAGTGCATATATTTGTCAATTGTCACTTCTCAGATTGTACTTTAGTAATTTTCGAAAAATGCCTGGATGTTTCTGTTAAATTAAACAAACTAAAAGTCTCTATAGTATTTTTTTTTTGTGATTTTTTCTTTTTCATGTGGTGATGGCATGGATTTTGGTGTGCAGAGGATATATGGCTCCAGAGTACCTAGTAAAAGGACAGCTTACTGAGAAGGCTGATGTTTATAGTTATGGCGTGCTGGTTCTTGAAATCGTGTGCAGTAGGAAAAACAATGCTTTCATGGAGGGCTCCGGATCCCTTCTGCAAGCAGTAATTTTCCAAATACTTTTTTCGTGTTCGCTTGATATTTTTCCATTTTACCATTTAGAATTAGCTAATAAGGCTATGTTTGGTAAACCTAGATGATAAACTAGTGTATAACTTTTAAGTGAATTTCGAGCTTATAGCTGATAGTTATATGACTTATGGTTGAAAAGCAAGCTTATAAAAGCTCGTCCTACCAAAACAAGTTTATGTGAATACATGAAGCTTATAGGCTAATCAAATAAGCTATAAGATAGCTTATATGCTTGCCAAACACAGCCTAAATTTATTCAGAAATTACAAAGAACGGAAGGAAAAAAAATAAATCGCACTGGAGCTTTTTCGATTTGGTTGCATAGTCATTGCTTGATCATTTTTTTTTGCATATTTTTTTTTTACGGTTTCAGGTTTGGAATCATTTCAAAACGGGTAGGTTACCAGAAGCAGTCGATCCTTCCTTAAAAGGTGAATTTCCAGCAATGGAGGCATCAAAAGCTTTGAAAATTGGGCTTTTGTGTGCTCAGGCATCTGTTACAGAGAGGCCATCAATGGCAGAAGTTATCCAAATGCTCACAAACGAAAACTATGAAATACCCGAACCAAAACAACCACCATTTCTGCAAACTCATCCCTTCTCGACAAGCTCAACTGGGTCATCATCATACAGCATAAACAGTTTAAATTCGAACGTTATAAGGAAATACGAAGCATCATATCGGTCGACCGAGTCTTCCAGCATACAGAGTTCTGATGTACAATCCAAAAGTGAATACTCCAATTCAAGAGTTATAAATTGATCTTACTAAGCAGGAAGCTTGCTTTTGATTATAAATTGATCTTCCTAAGCAGGAAGCTTGCTTTTCGATCAAGAGATTCAAGTTTGTGTAAATCTTGTATCTAATTTTTTTGTAGAAGTATTGTAAAGAAAAAAAGAAAAAAGAAAAGAAATAGTGTAAACTTCGGAACGTTGGTCACAATCGTTGATCCAAGTTTTCATGTTCCTTTTTCTTGTTTCCTTTTGTATTTAAAAGGGATTCTTTTTTTTGGAAATGAAAGAGTGTAATCTATCTTGTAATTTGCAGGTGAGCATCATTTTTCATGATTGTGAGTTTAGGATTGTGACTTGTGAGCCAATGATCGTTCAAGTATTTTTTTCACCGTTGGATCAACTCAACACATGTGAATTTTTCATATTTTTAGATGGATTGTTTGTTAAAGTTAAAAACTCAATACAGACCCCATATGCTTATCATCTTTCACCTACCTTCTCAATTTGTCAACAGCTCATTCTCCATCAGTTTTTCCAGCTCTCAACTGATACTTATTTTATTTTCATTCCCCATCAATTTTTCCAACTCTCAACTGATACTTATTTTTTATTTATCACATGTTTGAGAGCTCACAAGTCACAAGCCTGTCACTATAATTAGCCGGCGTAGAAGACAGCAACATAAAAACACAATAATTTCGAAAGTGTAAAACAACATAAGCAACACATTTGGCCAAGCCACATTTATACACTTCTTATATCTTAAAGTGCTAATACTCACTCTTTTCAAATCAAATGCTAAGATCAAAACTGGTGAACATGTAAAACTAAAAACTTAACCGGATTACAGTTCAGAATAAGTAAGCTGCAACGAACTAAACAAGAGATGATCAAAACCGAGCATTCAAATGCCAAGATCACTAGAAACAACAAGTATACGTTCAAGTTTCCCTAGCTAGAAGGCGAATGAACACATTGAAAGCACTTTAGATATCTTTGATCTTAATACATGAGCAAGGACTAAGGAGTAGAGTCTACTCATCCTCTCTAATGAAACTAGTTTAGATTTTCTTGAGCAAATCACAAAAATAAACAAACTTTCACACGAATCGGTAATCATTCTTGAAGAAACATGAATATTTTGTTTTTCTCAAATGTAGATGTGAATCCTTCAACGATGTCAATTAGCTCAAATGAGCAAACAATGATCATTAAATTTTGAGTAAATTATGCCACTCACCTACAAATTCATTTTTATTTGCGCATCTATATTTTTTTAATTACTAATATACTTGCTTTGATTGTTTATGAGGATTGTTTTGTAGTTTCTCGTCACTACAATTTTTAAATTATATTAACTATATTGATAACACATTTATGAATGGTGTATATATAATTTTATTTCGAATATAAGCTTATAAAAAAATTCAATAAGTGTAATCAAAATATAAAAGGAGGTATCTACTTTCAAGTTTCAACAACAAAAAATGAATTAAAAGTAGCATTCTCAGCAAAATAGCATATTCGAAAACAGTCTATATTGGGCTTTACAAAGTGGCCCATTGTCGGCCCAAATGAGTAAGCGAAGCAATATCTAGGCAATTTCTCAGCAATTCCATGTGCTCCAATTCTCTCCAGTTTGAGCTAATCTCTACGACCAACAAAGTCTTTCAATGGCGACTTTAAATCAGAAGTTGAAAATGGATAGCGTATAAAAAAATCTTCCAGACGATTTACACCTCCTTGTCTTCTTCTTCGAGTCTGCAAAAGTACTCCAAAAGGGGCAAATTCATTTCCTAATCCCTAAACCAATCTCGATCCTCTTCACTGGTACACGCGCATGTCGTAGAGTTTTTTCCTTTGCCTGTATATGATTTGAGTACTCAGATGAATAACAATTCGAAGCCGCAGTACATGGACAAGCAGATCATGGATCTCTCCGATTCCCAGAGCCCTATCACTGCTCACATCAACAGCGCCGGCGGCAACAATGACTTCATCGATTTCATGAATCGGCCTGCAGAGAAGAAGGACGACATCGTCCCCAGCTACGATTTCGTGCCGATTAGACCATCTTTGGGATCATCATCGCCGACGGCCGGACGTTCGTCCAATTTGGGTTCCGGAAACGACGATGCGCCGATGAGGACTTGGAATTCTGTGGATTCCAAAATCGGCGCTTCTCCTGTCCGAGTATTTCTCTGAACTTTATCTCTCTTGATAACTCGTCTTTTTATTTACGTGTGATGGAATCTAATTTTCTGCGGTTTGACTCATGGGTTGATCCAGTTATGTGTATGAATTGTTTTATTTATTAGTTTGAATTGCAACAGTGGTGGTCTTATTGGATAAGAAGCAGTTTCCTTTGTTTCATCTGTACTGTAGCTGAGTTCTTGCACTGCGTAGTTCTTTTCATCATTTGTTTGCCAGAGCTCGTTTTGGATTTTGCATTTCGCACTTTAATTGTTGATGTAATAGCTATGACAATTCATTTCTGTGGCAGCTCATTGTTTCAAGGGGAAATGGCACTTTTGATGATCAGGGGCAAATTAATTATAAGGACATTTTGATTTTTTCTGTTATATAGATGATCTGTTGTCTTATGATGATTTTCTGTCTCGGTTTTATTTTTCTTCCCCAGACTTACAGTTCTCCTGTTGCTGATGAACCTGCTAACTTCGTTTCGGGGAGAAATCACAACTCCAGTGATGTGTCCTTGGATGTGTCGTTAGTTTCTGAAATTGACAGGACAATGAAGAAGCATATGGACAATCTAATTCATGCCGTCGACAAAATGAGTGCACGTTTAACACAATTGGAAACAAGGACTCGCAATATTGAAAATTCCGTTGATGATCTAAAGGTTATTATTGAGAACAACCATGGCAGGTCTGATGGAAAAATGAGGTCGTTGGAGAATGTTCTTACAGAGGTACCTTCCATTTCTTTTACGGTTATGGAGTTGTAGATATTTGAACCAATCTAGTTGATTTAGTGTTGGCAATATTTTCTCATCTCAATTTTTTGGTACATTGTGTTGTGTTCTTGTACAAACTGCACATGCCAATTCAATGGTTATGTATGCAACCCCTTGGAGCTTGTTAAATTCGATCCAAGCATCAACTCTAGAACGAATTGCATTCTTTTTTTTTTTTTAAATCTAGAATTTATTTAGTACTAAGGATCGCCAGTTGCAGTGCATAGATAATTTATAACTTCAAACCCCCTTTTTACCATTTTCATCATGTTTAAACTGCTTTGACTAATCTTCCGGCACCTCAATACCTTCCACAGGTGCAGACAGGCGTACAGTTCATAAAGGACAAACAGGAAATCATCGAAGCTGAGCTGAAGATTGCCAAGCTGCAAATTCCCAAAACTGAACAAATCGAAAACAAGAACTCACCAAACCCCGTTCCTTCCCATACCGGTATACCCACCCACCAGCAGTTTCCAAACCCTTCCTTAACACAGCCTCCACCACCAACCCTCCCTCCGCTCAATGCCCCTGCACCACCCCCACAGCACAACGTACAACCTCAAATGCAGCAGCAGCAGCTTCCCAACCAGTTCCCTCAGAACCAATCCCTCCCAGTACCTCATCAAGAGCCTTACAACCCTTCACCCCCTCAAAACCCCGAAAATCCTAGTCAGCAGTACCAAACTCCTCCTCCACCCCCACCGCCACCTCAGCACCAATATCAGCCGCCGCCACCTCAGCCACAGTATTCTCAGCCTTACTCTCAGCCGCCACCTTCACAACCCCACCCCTCATTCTTGACCTCCCCTCAACAATCCATCGGTCATCATCTAGAAGAAACACCTTATAATATTCCTTCTCAGGCTTACTCGTCGGGCATTCGCCCGCCATCTGGCGCTTCTCCTCCTCCCCAGTCCCAACAGTACTACGGGCCCAACCCAAATGTGTACGAGCCTCCGTCAAGCAAAATTGGGCCGGGCCCTGGATATTCTGGTTCTTTCGGCCCACCGCCATCAGGTCACGGTGAGCCGTACCCATACAGTGGCTCCCCTGTTAAGTCTCAGCAAATTTCGTCTCATGGTATGGGGCAGAGCGGATATCCACAGCTTCCAACTGCTCGAATATTGCCTCAAGCACTGCCCACAGCCACTGCAGTTGGTGGTGGGCCCGGGCCTGGGACGGGCTCGGGGTCTGGTAATAGGGTCCCCATTGACGATGTTGTGGATAGAGTCACAAATATGGGATTTTCGAGGGAGCAAGTGAGGGCAACTGTACGGAAGTTGACAGAAAATGGACAGGCGGTCGATTTGAATGTGGTGCTGGACAAGTTGATGAATGAAGGTGATGGCCAAGCTCCGAGAGGTTGGTTTGGCCGTTAAGCGTTGGTTGGTTTTCGATCTGTGTTTTTTTTCTTCTGTCTTGTAGAGTTTGAATTACACATTTTCTGAGTTGTTTCTGCTTGGACAAAAGATGATTTTCTGGGCTTTTTTTTTTAATGATGTCATGTGACTGGGATTTATATTCTTTATTGTGGTTTTTTTATTGGTAGGTAGTGTTTTTTCATATCATACTTTATATTAATTGCGTTGTTTATCATTGTGGTTTCTTATTTGGACGTCCTATCTCGTCTATAGACTTTAGTTTCTTTCCTAGCCATTGTCCTCGGTATATTGTTCTTATGAGCGAATTACAAGATGGAGGCTTGGTAAAAAAACTATCCATAGTAATGGATTTATGTACACATGATGAATGGTGAGTTAGTTGCAACAGGTTTATTCAATATTAAGTTTGTTTGTTTGACAGAATTTATAAATATAATCTGTCAACATTACTATCCATTGTTTTGAATAGATTTCATACTTTAATTTAAATTTAACATTTCACATTTCACATTTCACATTGGAGATATACATTTTGTTTGAGAAAACAAAACGTATGAGGGTTTGGGTTGTGTAAAACTGTTTAATAATACAACCAGTTGTGTTACTAAAATTGGATGAGTATTGATGATTCACAAGTCTTTTCCTAAGAATTTAATAAGGGCGTGTTTGTATATAAATAGGTACGTTCAAAATGAGTTTTTATGTTTAATTAGAGTTAATTTTTTTTAAAAAAAAAAAAATGGTAAGGGTAGTTGCTAGTGAGATTTTGATTCTATATTAAAATAATATTTAAAATAAAATAATTAAAGCTGATTTGATGTAAAAGTAGGATAGAGGTGGTGCGAAGTGATTGTTAGTTAAAATTATGTGAATTGATGAATAATAAATTAATGTTCATTTGATGTATGTGAATGATTGGTCGATATTATTGAATTACTAGTACGACACCCGTGTATTACACGGGTTGTTTAAAAAAAAATATAAAACATAAAATAATAGAAAATACACATATGTTGTTGTATAACTATTTCAACCTTTTAAAATATATTAAAAAGATCATATAATATTTTATAACTATTTCAATGTATTTTTATAGATATTCTAAAAATATTTAAATAATTTATTTATGGTTAGATTGAAAAGATATAATATGCAAGTGACTATATATTTTTTTGTAAAATTATAGTATTTTTTTAAATTAAACTATATAAAAAAGTTATTGTTTACATTAATTATATAAATAAAATAATATATAAAGCTAAATTTTTTTATTTTGGTTTACACAACAAGATAAGAATCTTAAGATGTAATGTTCTTTATACGATAAGAATTTGGAGTTGGAGGATTTACACGGCATCTCAGAATCCTATTTAATGAGGGAATGTATTTTATTTTAAACAATTAGGGAATGTATCCGAACTAAAAGCCGAAGCATGTATTTTTATTTTAAACAATTAGGGAATGCATCCGAACCAAAAGCCAAAGCATGTAATATTGCCAAATAAGCTTCCGAAGCGTGCGAAGCAGTCATTTAGGCTCAGCGCGTTTTCAAATTATATTAAGAGGGGATATTGATAATATTGAAAATAGTGGAGTTGGGTTAAAGTTCAATTAAATTTTGAGTATAAATTGAGTATTTTTATATACAAACACACCATAAAAAGTTAAACAATGCATTTGTGTTACAAAGATTTGATGAATATTGATGATTCAGATGTCTGGTCACATATGTGTACTTTCAGCTAAAGCTAAAGTTGTTTTTATAGTTGAACAAAGTTAATAAGATAAATGACTCGTAAAATAGTGTTTGAATCTTGGTTGCAACTAGAATTGTTAAATTAAATAAATCGCTCTGAGCTCAACTTATTCAAACGATCCGAGTATAGTTCATTTAAAACTCGTTCAGTTAATGGGGCGAGCTCGTCTTGGCTCGGCTCGATAAGAGTCGTTAAGGTTCGAAAAATGATTTTTATGTATTTTTTTATAATTCGACTCAATTTTGACTTATTAAAGTTCATTCTCGACTCATTAATATTGATAAACGAGTCGAGCTCGTGTGCACCCGTAGCTACAACTTACAACAAAGTACGATGACAAGTGTGGAGGATCGAAAAGCAAATTAGTGTCCATATTACTATTCCTCAATCAGAAGTCAGAACCATCTAGAACTTTGTCCTCAAAGTAGATAGAACGCAAGAAGAGGGGCCAATCAGTAATATTTGAAAATATCAAGCACCAATCTGCAAGCACTTTCTCCTACACCGACTTGCAGTACCGATCGTTGTATTTTGCACCTTGGAGTAAAAAGTCTCAAGAGCAACTTACAAACATTTCTCAAATTTCTCAAAGCGCAATTGTTCCTTTTTTTTTTATATCCAATTCCTCAATTGTAAAACCCATCAGCTGTTTGGTGTCCTCCATTGTAGAGAGAGAAAGCTGTCGTGTATAACATAGAGAATAGCCGCTCAACGCTGAATAATTTTGGTCTGGTGTTAATTGGTGAAGGAGATGTATGCGATGCATATCTTCAAGTAGAAGAAGAACGAACAGGAATCAAAACCTCAGCGGAATACCAATTTATGAGGTCTGCTTCTGGTGCATTTCCATTTTCAATTTTCAATTAGGTTTTTATGCGCGAGTTATTTTCTCACATGAGCTTCGACGTGCTATTGGTTTTGCCTGGTTAATTACGCAATTCCGTTTATACCTATGGTTTCATCTGTTTTTTTAATGGTTTTGATATGTGGTCGTAAATGTGCATTGATTTTGTGGTTGTTTGTTTTGTTTGTAGCTGCAGTGTTGTTTGTTTTGATTTTTAATTGAATTTAGGGGTTTTGTGAGGTTCCGGAAGAGTGTGCCTGTGAGTGGAGGGATACCTAATTCAGCTTGCTTCTGTTGTCTCTGTGATTGTTTATGGATTATATGCACATTTAGTGTAATTCTACTTGAGCATTCAGCTGAGAGTTTAATGTCCAAGTGCCCTCTGGCAGAGGAAAATGTGAGTTGGCTGGTTGTGAAAGGAGTAATTGACATGTCAAATGAAATATCAGATAATTACTTAGACGTGTGAGATTGATAAAATATTGAGATCCTGAACTTAGTTGTTGATCCCTTGTTGGGATGCAATCTAAGAGTTCTTACAGAAGATGTTTCCAACTTCTAGCGGCACATGACAATTTGATTGAATTATGTTGTTTAGTTGGCTTTATTAATATTGGTCCAATTGATGACACATACCCTAGTTTGGAAGCTATGTTAACATTTAGATGTGTGTGGATGTNTTTTAAAAAATAGATTCTAATTTTTTTGGCCTTCATAGAAGTTGTACTCAGTAATTTGTCCTTGTGAAATTTCACATCCCCATACAAATCCATCAGGTATTTAGAGTTAGCACCTCCTGTGAGTGCTTGTATTTACTCTCAAGATTAGAGGTCTGTGAACCATTCTGGAGCAAATGCATTGAGGATTTTGGTAAAGTCGGTCTGATATTTATGCAGATTAAGCTGAAGAAATATGAAAACCATATTTTAATTGGTATGATGGTGACAACTACTAGAATAGGGAAGTAAGAGGTAGTTTAGAAAGCACATTTTCAAATGGAAAAAGGCCATGTTGTGTGATATACTACTGAAATTGTCTTTTTGTTCACAGTTGCTAGCGAATTCTAAATTTATTGTTCAGATTCTCTCACTTGTATCTACATGAGGTAACTAGTACTGAGTTGTCTGCACAATGATTAATGGCAATGTACTCCTTTCTTTTCGGTGAACAAGAAAACCACATTATTTGACCGATAATTAGTCATTTCCTTTCCGTTCCTTTGTTTCTTGAAATATGCTGACATAGTTAATTTTGTATAATATTTTTTATCATGGTTGTCGTACTTATTGGAAGTTCACAAATTTGATGCTGTTATTTTATGCCAGGTGATCCATTCCAAACAAACTTCTGTTTCCTGCATTGATTTCGCTTGGTTCTCGACGGGGTTCTTCCGCTTCTGGATCTATCCTAGAATGGTTATGCAACTTTATTTGATTCCATTACACATATGCTAGAGGGCTAGAACTGTCGACGCGTCTCGACAAACCTGTATATATTGTTTCTTGCAAGCATTTCATGGAGCTCAAAGTTTCTCTTGAAAAACCAGGATTTTCATCTTCTGATGCAGCCAGTGATCCCGAAGATAAAGAAATCAGTGAAGGTGAGGATGAGGATGATGACCGTAATCACAAACACCGTAGGCGGGAGGCTCGTTCACATTCACTGGTAGAGGACTCTGTCGATCAGGGCTTAACTAGACCGTATAGGAAAAGAAACAGGTCTTTTGAGAATGGTTTTTCATACAGGGACGGTGACCGACAAGCAGGTGAATCCTGGAGGAACTATGATAGTGCTTCAGATAGAGACTTCCCCTCAAGGTTTGAGAAGAGGCGTCAGAACAAGACCCCTTTCTCCAAATCTCCCCTAGAATTGCAACGAAGAATTGGGGGAAACCAAGTACTGCCAAGTGAAGTTGGGCTTGTTAGGGGCAGGGGAAGGGAGCCTATTTCCTGGGGCATACATGACTCAAGGCTTGGTTTGGTTGATTTTTCATCTCAAGTTGTTCAACCTGGGTATGTGCCACCTGCTTTGTATGCTGGGAGGGGCTTTCCCAGTGTTTCCAACACACCAAGTACTTCTTGGAATGCATTCGGATTGGTTCCAGGTATACGAAATGGGGGGCTTGACCCAATTCACCCCTTAGGTCTGCCAGGGGCACTTAGACCGGCTATTAATCCTCCAATGAACCTTGGAATTCCAAGGCAACGATGTAGAGATTTTGAAGAACGTGGTTTTTGCCTAAGAGGGGACATGTGCCCAATGGAACATGGAGTTAATCGTATTGTTGTTGATGATGTTCAGGTTTGTGAACTAGACAACTTACAAATTCTTCTTAAAGTTACGTCATCTTTGTTTCCATTGAAGCTTTTAAGGGTGTTCATCTTTTAAATGTTGATTTGTTGAGATCAAATAACTTTACTATGAAGTCATATTTTTTTTTCTTCAAGCTTGATTGTTGAGATCAAATAACTTTACTAAGAAGTCATATTTTTTTTTTCTCTAATCATGGGAAGGAACATCTTCTTGTTTAAGCCATGACTTTTGGCATCCATATGGGGAAGCCATGGTCATATTTACACTGCAATTTAATTCATAGTTCTCCAGTCAGACTCGTTGCATATGTATATAGAACTGCTAAAATTAACTTTTTTTTTTCCCTGTAAATTGCAGAGCCTTTCACAGTTCAATCTCCCTGTTGCTCTTCCCGGCTCTCAGCTTCTAGGAAAATCTCCCGGGCAAGGAGCTTTGCCTACAAATAATAAAAGTTCTCATGCAAAAGATATCAAGCCCAGAATGAGCGAAAATGTTTTTGGACCAAACGGTGGTGCTGTGGGAGGTTCTACAGCAGGAGCATCTGATGTGTATGATCCAGATCAACCTTTATGGACGAATAATGACCCAGAAACATCTGCAGCACTCCATGCCTTGAATCAATCAACTGCTGATGAGACAGAATCTTTCTTGGATGTTGAAACATCCGATAAGCCAAATATTGAATCAACTGAAGGATTTAATGAAGAGCCTTCTTTAATAAATGCCACCACCTCTGGGTCTCAAATTTCATCTATATGGGGAAGGGTAGGTGATTTAAAACGTGATTCTGAAGGAAAGGTAAAATTTGATTCTGTTGGAACATCCTCCAGTTATCTTGAACGAGGCGTCAAAAGTGCTAAAGCACTAAATAGTGATGTTTCTAATCAAGGAAAGCAGATGAATGTTGATGGGAATAATTCACTAGTCAAGGAATCACCTCTCAAGCAACAAAGTGATTCTGTTAACAATATTCAAAGACCGTCTCAGAAAGCACTCCGTACTGTATTTGTCAGTGGCATTCCTCTGAAAGACAATAGACGGGAAGCTCTGCTTTCACATTTTCAGAGATTTGGCGAGGTAATTGACATATATACCCCTGCAAATAGTGAACGGGCATTTGTTCAGTTTTCTAAAAGAGAAGAAGCAGAAGCAGCTTTGAAGGCACCTGATGCAGTGATGGGTAATCGCTTTATCAAGCTTTGGTGGGCAAATCGAGACAATCTCCCAGATGATAGGATAAGTGGTAGAGGTCCTGTTTCAGTAGTTACTAGTGGGTTGACTAACCGAGCCCCTTCCCGTCCATTTGTTCTTGCTAAAGGACATAAAAATTCTCTTGTTAAAACTGCCAAAGAGGGCAACACCCATGCTTCTGTTGCTCAACTGCCAGTCCATAATCACCCTAAGCCCATGGTTGGTAATGGACCCAGCCCCAAAGCCCCTCCACCACAACAAAAGAAGTTGGAGAATTTTGAGCTATTAAAAGAACTGCGGAAGAAGCAGGAGATGCTTGACCAGAAACGAAATGAGTTTCGAAATATGTTGGACAAACTCGAGAAACAAGTAATTCCCATATCTTTTCAGTTTGAGTATGCTAGAAATATTTTGATATTAATTAATTGTTTGTTTGTCCTCACTGTTACTCCTACAAAACTTCTATCCCTGTGTTTCAATATGCCGGCGTTTTATTCACTGAGGTGTTTCTTTATTGCATTTGGAGCTTTTACCTTGCTTGGTGTCTGCTGTATGAGGTATTGGCCGGGTGAATCTGTGTGATCAAGTGTAAAGCGATTTATTGTATGAATTAATTTATATGCATGAGTGTTTTTTTCTTTACAATTTTATTTTATCTGAATCACTGTTGTCTCTGCCTTAGGTTATAAAGTGGCATAAAGCACAATTCAGTTTTTACTGTTGTCAAGGTCTTCATCTTGTCCTTACATCTATGGTTTTTCCACTATCAAATATTTGTCTTTTGCAGTCTGTAGGTTCCACAGATATCCCAATAAGTGATCTGAATGCTAAAAGGCATAATGGCGAAACACCACCGAATGATGCTAAAGCTGAAACTTCTAAGTCATCAGCAAGTGACAACTTAAAACCAGAGAATACCACTTCATCTGGGTCAGTTGTGTTGCAAAAATCCACTTCAAGTGCGAATGTACCTGCTCAGGAACCTTTGAAACCTGCCTTTCGACCACCGGCACTTTCTGGGAAACCTTTCACAGTAAACAGATTCAAGCTGGACAATCGCCCCACAACATTCAGAATAATTTCACCATTGCCTGCTGGCCTCGCAAATGTAACTTTCTGTCAGAGTTAAATATTGCAATAAATATGTTTCTTGTTTTAAAGTATCATTTCATTGTAGTGCTATTTTTAGGGATAATAATTTCATAAATTTCCCTTAGTTTAACCTTTTTCTGGAAAAGAAACCTACTTACCTTTCAAATATCAAACACTCCTTGAGGGTAATACCCCCTTCTATCTATGGCAGTATCTCCATAAAACCAGATAGAGGTTCCCCTGGGGAGCCGTATTGCTTATTGTCAACCATCTGTGCATTGCATGGCTCGTCCTTTTATTTCGGTAGGTTTATGTAATCCACAGATTGGTAAATATCAACAATGGGGCTCTGTAAACAGAGCCCTATTTGATTTTATAAAAAAAAATTGCTTTCTTGGTGTTGCACTTGTAAGACAAAACAACTCTCAAGGTGGTATTTGTAACTTTAAAAGAGAACCCTGATTTATTTATTTTTTGGTTTCTTTTTGAAAAAGAGGCCATGTTTGAGGGAAGTTTTTGTCATCAGTCCTTTACATTATTAAATGCTCTTTATATGATATTCATTTGAAAATCCATACTCATGTTTTTGCCTATTAGGTTGCTGCTCTGGAGGAGCACTTCTCTGCTTACGGCGAACTGTCTTCTTTGGAGCTTGAAGAGTCACAGCAAGATGACACCAAAGATGCTTCAGTACCACCTAACGTTACTGCTCGGGTTTCCTTTACGACTCGTCATTATGCCGAGAAGGCATTTTCGCATGGAAAATCCTGGCAAGGTCACAATTTACAGTTTACATGGCTCAAGTCTATTGGTTCTGGCAAAGAAGGTGGTGGATCTGTAAAGGTTTTCGAGGCTTCTGTGATGTCGGATGCTAATGCTCAGGCTGGTGAAATAAATGCACCTGCCCATTATGAGAAAACTGCTGTGTTAGGATCGGACGAAAATGAGGACTCAAAAGACGGAGCTAATGTGAACTCTGATGAACAGGACAAAGACATGAAATTGGTTTCAGCCTCATTGTCTGAAGAAAAGCAACTCTCTTGAAGTTATGCTTCCACTCTGCTTGTAGATGTACAGTGAGGTAAAACTAGTGTCAGGATTAAATATAGTTGATATTGATGACTGTAGCTGAATTCTAGCTTCAGTGATTTTTATATTTAGTTTTTTATTTTTCTTCTCTCTCTTTTTGTCATTTTTGGATATGTGAGGAGGTGCCTCTAGTTGTTTTAAGTGCTAAGTGCAACTTGTAATCTGTCGTGCTCTTGGACATATTTTTGGGAAACAGGGATTACAGTCTGATAAATTTTAATTAAATGATATAACCTTCGATAATTCATTTTTGTCTTGTGTGCACTTTTGTTTTACCCTTTTTTTTTTTTTAATAATTGCTTGGTTTCGGCCGGGACAAGTTTGAAGTGGATGTTTATTTGGTAATTACAGTGCGTATGCTTTGCGCGACATAGGGCTGACATTCTCTGTGGTCCTGTGGATCAGCAGCACTTCATATAGAACTGGCATATTACTGTTGGTCGGGTAGAAAACTCCTACAAAAGGTCGTGCGGCTCTGTTTGATGGTTGGAAATTGGTGATTGCGATTTATGTGAAATTATGAAAAACTGAATTGAGTTCATCATCATAAATACAAGAAAAAAAATAATTTATTTTTGTACATAAAACCGCTCTTCAAAGAAACACAAGTCTGATAATTTAACGAGTTACAATTCTTTGACAACCATATTAGCAAGTCCCAGCTGTTTATCCACAGGCAAATAGTCTTTCAAAGAAACACAAGTCCGATACAACACTTGCAGGATGAAAACTGCAAATTCGTTCTCCGACCTGTCAATAAGCTGTGAACCCAGAAAGTAGTTGCCAAGCTGGACGTGTCTTGCCCAGTAAATCCTTTCCGTTGATCTCCAAAGATACAATGCTACACTTTCTGCAACCATCTCCCAGCTAGTGCCCACCAGGAGAGAGGATAAAGTGACGGGCAGGTCACTCAACACGCTTGATTTATCAGCAGACAACATAGGCATGTATTTGCAGGAGCTGCCGGATAAGAGACCCAGAAACCAAAGTGCCTGAATGAAAAATAATCCGACAGTATTGAGCGTGTGGGAGTGGGAATCGAGGTTAATTGCTATAAGCATAATAAAGAAATGCAAAATTCTTTTGATGGAAAGAGAAATGGTGATCCACTTAACTTATGCTATATTTGGTAAACCTAGCTTATAGCTTTTAAGTGAATCTCGAGTTATAGTTGATAGCTTATGACTTATGGTTGAAAAGTTGGCTTATATGATAAGAAAATGTTCGGTAGAATTAGCTGAAATAAAAATTTCAATGGGCATATTTGAAAAATTACCCAAGGAAGCTTATGAGCTTTTTTACCAAACCAAACTTATTTGAATACAGGAAGCTTATAAGCTAATCAAATAAGCTATAAGCTGGCTTATATGCTTACCAAACACGACCTTAACAAAGTTGTAGTGTCACTAGTGAAAACTGCCCCATGTATGTATATTTGCATGAAATGAGGACTGAATATTCACCTTCAAAATAATGCTGTATAACTAGGTTTTTGTGAAACGTTGAAAATATTTGGTCCATACCGTTGAAGGGAAACTTGTCACGCACAGAATCTCTGCTGTGTCAACGAGCCATTGTTGTCTCACGCTTTGATCCTTTTGTTTCAAGATTACAGAGAGTTCTACCAGAATATTCCAGATAACTACATGCGCGGACATTAGTGTATTCTGTTAGTGTATGGAATGGAAGGTTCAGGAAAATCTACGTCATCGACTTAAAAAATATGTAAGCATCTAACCTTCTGAATTCATGTCTAGAATGTATGCTTTCAATTTTGCGAGTTCTGACAAGGGTAAGGAACCCATCCGAACTAGTGAAGCTATAGCTTGAACCTTTTTCAGAGTGTTCTGGATCTGGTTTTCATTTCTGAAATTTGCATCCGAAATCTGTGTACAACAAAAAAAATATTCTATTATTCAATATTTAGAATACCAGGACAAATAAGCAATATATAATGCAGAAGGATGAAATATCAACACAATAGAAACAACCTTCGTAGGGTTTTGCAACTCACATATGCTGTTTTGTGACAACAATTTAAGAGATGTATGAAACATCTGAAGTCATAATATCCAAAGAAATACAACTTGAATGGAATTATTACCAGCAGTAAATCTGATAGCCAGCTTTGCCGAGCCTTCCCTAGGCATTTAATTGCTTCAGCCCATTCCAGTTTAGAATCCTTGTTACCTACAGTAACCCCGGACTCGCACCATGGCAACATCTTAAACAGAATTTCCATGCAATTTTCCACATTACTTGCGTAATCTTGTGCCTCATCCAAAAAAGTCGTCAAACCCTTCCAGCAAGAAACCCGTAATGAGGCTCGTCCACCATGATCATACCGATTGGAGGAGACAAACCAGTGTAAGAAATCTGCCACGTCATCAAAAAGCTTCAACAGTCGGGAATTGGAGAAGGTCTTCATCAGGCTGGCCAGGTGCAATAGCATAAGCGATTGCAGGTTTGGCTCGAGCGTCTTGAGCCTCGCCAGATCATACAGCTCGTCAAGGATGCCGAGAAGTGAGTCGGATTGGTTTGCATGAGACAACAAGAACAGAAAGCAATCCTCCCTTATGGTGGTTCCTTTTCTGAGGGCTGTGTCCTGCGAAGGGGTTTCAACAATTTGACCGCTGTATTTCATGCACCGTCTGACGATTGCTCCCCAATCCAACGATGGCAATCTTGGAGCATATGATAGACATCGCAAAGCTAAGGCGACGGTTCTAGTATTTATACTGCCACCCAGCTGAAATTCGAGATAAACCATAATTAAGAGAATAAGATCCATAAATCTTTTCGAAAAATTCCAATCATTTTTAACCAATCACTTTCTATTTTTAAATTCAAATCTAACTCAACTTTAACTCAAAACTCAAAACCCCACTATCCTCAATATTATCAATATAATTAAATAATATGACTCAATCATTCTTACACATTACATCAATTTTAATTCACTCACTCTTCATCTACTCACATAATTTTAACTAACCATTACTTCACATCATCTCTCTCCTACTTACATGAAATCAATTTTAAATATTTTATCTTAAATATTATTTTAATATAAACTCAAAATTCCACTAACAACTAACCATACCACTTTTTTCAAAATTAACCATACCAAATCAAAAATTCCAAACAAAATCAAAATATTTTATATCCAAGCAATCCCCTAAGGGTACGTAAGTTTCCATAAAATTTCGTAACGGCTTTCAAATGCTATCAACGGTTTCTTGAAAATGAAGATAGATAGAGACAGACAGATGGACAACAGAGATCTCAAAATCTAGCAAGGTTACCTCGGAATAGTTCATCTGTGTGAGCCACATAGAGAGTTTCATAACCAAACTATCTTCCGCAAATCCGTGAGAGGCAGACTTGAGGACACCAGAGTCACCATGTGCTGCACTCACCTCACTTGAACGGTCTCTAGAGAAGATAGAATGCCTAAGAAATGAAATAGCCCATGCCGCATGCTGCTGTGACTGAGGATCGTCAGGATTTTGTGCAATCAGAAATATCTCTTGAATCAGTGATGTTAACTCCGTCTCTGGGGCATGATTTGGAAGTAAAGAACCCAAGTCATCAGATAATAACTGCCAGTATTTCAAACAAATAAACAAGTAAAAACATAAATCCATCTCCAATTCCTTACTAGAATCTGCAGATGATATTTTTTAAACAATTTGTGTAGTTGCTAGCTAGAATTG